ACCAGCCAGAGACCAAAACAAGTTTATTTCTTTTAAGTTCACCCAGAAAGGTGACCGAAGGGCTTGCAAATTCCCTATATATTTCTCTACCTTTCTGCAGGGGTGACTACTCTCGGTCCATTGTTAAGACCAGCACTTTGATAATTCCTGGTATCACTACATATGTATACACAAATCTCCTAACATACATTGCTAAATTCCACGATGCTGATTTCTACCTCAAAATCCAGAGTGTGAGGTTTGCTTTTATAGCATTGCTATCTATATCAGAGAAGTATTCATCAGCATTTCTCTGCTACTGTGTAGCTCGGTGAAGTTTAAGTTGGAAAACACTCGGCCTTCAGAAAGTTGACTGTCTCAGAGAGAAAGGATGGCCAACGGTGATCAGGACTCAAATCCAGGGACTTCAACATTCACCTGCTGGATTCATAGAAGGGTATGACGGAGCCCATTCCTATGTGGGGCACACAGAGAGATTCAAGGCTTGGCACTTCCATTTCTGAGATTCCTCTCGGCTCCTTTTGCTCTATGTCTTTTGACTTTTGAGAGCTGTATTTAAACAATGCCAAACCCCACAGTGCTGATGGCTTGGAGAAGACACTTAAGCTCTACCTCGATGTGTCCACCCAACAGCATGAATTTACCCAAGTTCTCTGCTCTGCTAGCAAGGACTTTCTCCTTCGCTGCCCAGTGAATGTCTGCTGATGCATTACAGCCCAACTCAAATGCCACTTTTTCCCCTTTGAAACACCTTCTTCCCTACTCTAAGAGACATCCACCTGCTCCCTCTCATTTGTTTTCCTATGCGCGCCCATGGATACACCTCAACAGTAGATTAATGGTTAAGAGGGAGGGCTCTGGTCCAACAGACCTGGTCAAAACCTCAGCTCAGTCACTGACATTCCTTGTGACCTTGGGCGAGTTACCTTTCCCTAAGTGTCAGTTTCAGCTTCTCCATATGCAAAAGGGGTGTCATAATGCATGAGTGTGATTCCTTATCTGAGAACCTTGGGGTCACCTATATTTTGAAATTCAGATTTTTTTTTTCTTTTTGGATTTTCTTTTTCAGAAAGGTAGTTCAGTGGAAACACTGATTACGTAACACCCTCAGCAGGGTCTGGGACAAAACCCTGACATCAAACACATAAATATTCCTGCAGCAAAATATATGAATATTCACACTAAGTGGGATAAAGAAAGTCTAAAAATAGCCACACATCATTTCAGGTCAAGTTTTCTTCCCAAATGAGTTTTGGTGCCAAACTCCAAAAAAATCCCCCTGATTTTCAGAGGTGTTTGGAATTTAAAATTACAGCTAAGGGAAGGTGGACCAATACTACTCAACTTTATGGTTATTGTGAGAATAAACTGAGATAATATATTAAGTATTTAGCACAGTGGCACATAGCAAATACTTAATAATTGTTACGTATCATTCTTTCCTATTGCCTTTACTGTATTATTACAGTTTTGTATTTATCTAGTGTTCTCTTCCACTAGGTGTAAACCCACAGGTCAGTGGTTATGACTATCACTTTTGTTTTCCAGGTGTCTAGAACAGTGCCTGATGTAGAATATGTATGTTGCGAATGAATAACTAAATGAACAAATGCATGGTGAGGTGGATGTGGCTCTGTTTACACTGTCTTCCATCTAGGAAAATAGTCTTCTGATCCATTATCTGTAAAACCTGAATGAGATGGGAATTATTTGTCCCAGTATGGAGAATGATCTAGCGTGTATGGTCAAACAGCATATCTTTTGGAGGAACATCTAGAGTGAGGGGTTGCAAGTCTGAACTTACAACTCAAAGTCAAGGACTCATTAGACCTAAACACTAACCAAATAGACTAACCAGTTACAAAGCCTTTGTTTTGATTATATCATTTGGCATTTTGTGGCCATGGTCCATGGCTTGACTAAGTCCTCTTGTTAGCTTCTGGACTCAAGAATGACTTTGACAATTGACTTGTCAGACCTCCTTTGTTTTCAAGTCAGACAACTCATTGATCATCCAGAGTATCGCTGGAAATTTAGAAGTAAATAAACAGGTTCAATAGGAACATGCATTGGTTCTCTTTATCCAAAGATACTAAGATGGGAATCTATACCAAGGGAAAAGGAACAATGTTTATACGATGAACTTGGTAATATTGCTCTTTTCCTCTTGTCTTCTACTCCTCAGAAACTGTCCAGGCTGATTCAGCTCAATCCTCCATAGTCACTCTGGAATTCTCTACAAGGCTAGAAGGCAAACTAACCACCTTGCTATGCATTCAATAAGTTTAGACATCAGATGATGGGTTCAGGGGATCCAGTATGGTAGATTCTGGCTTTCCTAGGGAATGGCAGATGGGGTCAGTGCTAACTATTGAATCAACTTCTAGAACAACAGACCGTGTTGAGTAACTTCACTAGATCTATGGCAAACACCTCCAGTCACTGTCCTTGCTGGATAAGGTATGCTATCTTAAAGCCTCTTACAATGTCTGGTCAACTATTTATTTTTCCTTTAACTGAGCAGACAGAAACAGGGCAATGCTTATATGAATAAAAAAAAAGTGGCACTTGAATTATAAAAAGCAAGTTCTTCTGCCATAGAATCATTGGCTTTTGAAGTTGGAAAGACCTTGAGAGGAATCTCAAACTCTAACAGAAGAACCCTGCCAAGTGGGCACTATGGCTCATTTGCACAGTCACAGGGAACTTACTACCGATGGTGGAGTACCTACTCTATTTTGCATCATTTTAATGTCTTGCTGATGACCTCATTAAGGGGTGGGTGGCACCTTAATTCCCTATAGAAAAGCCCTTGCATCTTGAAGAATTTGAAAGAAACTCACAAGGTCAAGGAATCGGTAAGCAAGCTCATCTAGTCTGCTGGGATGCAGGGCAGCTGGTATCAGAAGCAACAGCTGGAAGGTGAGTGTGTGTGTGAGTGCTACAATTTTTCTCCTTTTGAGTTACTTTTCCAGCCCTTGCAAATATGTCTGCAATGGAGTGATTTGAGTTTCTAGATGCCAATGGGTAAATAACATGGCCTGTCTCAGCAAGCCAGAAATAAAGCTAGTCTCTCCCTATCCATAGCATTTCAGTGTATGAAATGGGGGTGGGAGAGGAAGAAGATGAAGTATGTCACAGCAGCTGGTCTGGAGGCTCCCCACTGCACTGCTCTCCTGACTTATGGGTAACTAGTTACCAGAGGTGTCACGTGGGGAAACAAAATATGACCAGGCTGAGATTTGCAAGTAAAATCGCTTGTTCCTCCCCAAAATAACTGGATACGTTTCTCAAACGCTTCGCAAAAGAGGAAGAAATAGGGTCGCCTCAATTTCTCGGCTAGCCTGTGCGTCTTCTCATCTATCACTGGGGTAATACGTCCAGAGTGGCATTTCGTAATGACAGCAACATTCCAGCAAATCGATAGTTATTTAATTCCCAACAAGCTCTCGAGTCCATTAAGCCTGATTACATTCACCCATTTCAGTGGGTGCCGCTATTTTTCCTACACCGGCACTTAATCTATAACAGGAACTTATGAGAACTTTCAAAAGCAATTTCAGCATCAATCAGCATAGAGTGAAGGGCACAATTTGCTTGTAATTATTTATCGGACGGGGCGGCTGAGGGTCTGACAAAACTCCAACTGCTGACCTTCCCCCCAAGTTTCCAATAGAAGCAAAGACCTTCCGGTTTGCCACTGAGTCTGACTTCAGACTGTGCACGCCACGCTGGCCTGCCTGTGCCGGGACATGGGACAACTTCCATGCTGTGAAGGACCATTCCCCAGCCAGGAGCCTTCAAACTGAGCAGTCCCTCTATTTCTCACGTATAATATAGGTGCCTCCAAACTGAGCAATGGCCATAAATCTGGGACGACAGAATGTTTTGTTATTATTTGGAATCTCCCGAATGACTCAAATCACCAAAGTTCTTACCATTTACAGGAGGGAACGACAACATTCAGAAACACAGGAAAAGGGTGTTTGATCAGAAACCTCCCCAGAAATTTTAATTAATGAGCTAGGGTGTTGCAGAATTTTAAAATACAGTGGTGGGGAGGATCACAAAGATGAAAATGAAAGGACGTACTAAATATATTTTGTTTTCCTTTCCTGTAGAAACGAGATACAGAATTTATTACAAAGAAATGGTTGTTCTCAAACAAACAGATGAAAACCAAACAACAACAAAACCATCTGGGTTTCCTATAGTGTTCAGACTTTGTCACTAGTAGATGGGTGCTTCCCACAGAGAGCTTCAGATATACACCCAGAAGCCAACATTTGCTTAAAAAGACAAACTTATGATAAGTGAACAAAGGTCCAAAATATCTTACTGATCGACGATTCTCCCCGCACAGAGTTAATAACCTTCAAAGGAAAACCAACACACATTTCAATCCTCCGCTTTCTTGCCATCATTAAGACGTAAACAGCTGGTACAGGATTCCCAGAATAATCTCCGAACTTCATAAATTAACCATCAATGCAGTGTTCCTTTTTGCCTCAATGCCACCACTCAACCCAGGTGGGGGGAACTTTCTATAAAAATAGACAGTTCATGTGAAGGAGAACATACGAATTAATGCATATTTCACACTCCTTCTATTTCCTGGGTCAAAGCTCTTAACCAAGTCACCTCGTGATAAGTTACTTTGCCTCATGATCAGCTCTGGGACACTGAGTCCCTCAGAAAGCTGGGAAGGAGAGCAAATCCTTTGCCCCTTGGTCAACCTCCTGAAGCAAAAGCATGAATGTTAAACAGCAGCCAGATCAATACAAGCAAATATAGCTCAACTACACCATTTATTCAGCCATGAGAGATGTCAATAGCCAGATTAGGGTGATCCATCTTTTTGATTTCCTACTGTCTTCCCACTGACTACACGAGGGCTTTTTCCTGTATTAAAAGTGTTTGCTTTCTCAACCATAAAAATTCCAATTATTACTGTGAGCGCTCTGGAGTTAAGTTGCTTGCTGGCAGTGGCCTTGAATTACCTGGATCAGTCCGGGGAAGTAGGGGGCTGCTGGAACAATCATAGGCACGCCATAGGGATGCAGGAGGACTCCTTGAGAAGGCAACATGCTTTACGTGAAGGTATTATTCCCTCTGAAGTTCAACACATCAATGGAGTTAGGGGAAAATCTATAGACCCAAGTTCTTCGGAACTACCAAGCGGAGAGCCAAACCGCTTCTGTCAGGAGCCAAGCGCTCATCAACGCGGAGAGGGGAAAGAGAAAATCCGCATCAGCAACTCTTAATGTGAAAGTTTTCTTCCCAGACGACAAACAGACACAGCAGCTGCAGAGTCGAAGCTACCAAAATGGAAGGTGCTATTTTGGGAACGGCTTGCCTAACACGACTAACCAAATACTCTTTATTAATTTAGTTCTGAGAGAGAGTGAGAGAGACCAAGAGACTGAGAGAGAGGTGGTCAGGCTGTGAGATTTGGGCTTTTCCTGATGAATTTGGGCAAAAGGCAAGGGATAAAGTCTGCGTGGGATTTTTAGAGAGACAAAATGGAGAAACGTAAAGTGATACGATTATCAGTTGCCACTTAAAACTTAAGTAGGTTAATGTGGGCAGCCTTTGGTACTGATCGAAAAGAAACTAAGACAGTCTAGTTTGTCAGTCTCTCTTTCTCTGGTTTTAATTTTAAAAGGGCAATTTGTGCAAATAATATATAATAATTATAGTATATATATAATAACACTATCAGGTAACATTTGCAGTGTGCGCTATGCGCAGAGAATGAGCTAAATTATTTACACACGTTATGCAATTTCCTTCTCACAACTCTCCGAAGTAGGTGCTATTGTCTGTTCTACGTAACAAAAGCAAAAGGAGGCTGACACCCGTTAACTGTTTGCTTGGTCACACTCTTGCAAGAAGCAATGCCAGGCTACAAGAACAGTTCCTAGCCAGGCCACTGTACTCCTTACACCATTTCGTTCTGCAATAGAAATTCACATGACATTTTACAAAACATTCTTTGTCTTTGTGCTTTCAATTGTCATATATTAATATGGAATATAGCAATAAGAGATGGCTCCTTGTTCCCAAAGTTTAAAGGCATATCTAACGTGCACCAAAACTACGGGTGAGGAATACATTTGAGCCAATACAGTTAGGTGTCGCTTAACAACATTCTGCATATACGGTGGTGGTCCCCTAAGATTAGACCATGCAGCCTAGGTGTGTAGCTGGCTCTAGCATCCAGGTTTGTGTAAGCACACTCTATGATGTTCACACAACGAAATCGCCTAACGATGCATTTCTCAAAACGTGGCCCTGTCACTAATTGACACATGATGGATTTGAAATTGTTCTGATCTTTGAAAATACCCAAGTGATTTCCTGGGATACGTTACATGGTAATAGACAAACTCCTATGGGATTACAGGAATTGGAATTATAGTGACTCGGGTGTTCCACTTACTAGATGTGTGATGTTGCACAAGTTGCTTCATCCCTGAACCTCAGTTTCTTCATATGGAAAACAGAGATAATAATAGACCCTAGCTCAGAGGGTGTGTGACAAAGAAAGTCCCTGGCACCACATCCTACGTGTACAATACAAGAGGCTATCAGCCAATCTTAGTGTGAGTTTCCTGTTCTTCTACTGATGGTTGGTATAGACACATCTTTGGCTTCAGATTGAAGGCACAGATAACATTCAAATTGTGACTTTTCTAATCTTCAAACCGGGAAAACGTGTGGGTGTGTTTAGAGTTCCACAATTTTGAGAGCAAGGATGTGAAACTGATGGAGTGAGTCGACTCAATTTATGCTCAAGGTCCAGGGATCATTGAAAATCACCTTCGAACCAAACATGCGCTTGTCACATTCCACCTCCAAGCCTGAACAGGACACAGGATATGGATTTTGTGGAAACTGGGAGAGCTTCAGACACCGCAAAACATATTCAACTATTGGCTTTTTCTAAATCCAAATGTCAATTCCTCCACTTTTAGATAGCCAAGGTGTTTTTACACTACACTAATTTTAGTTGCTTGATTTAGCTGCATAATTACATTTCTAGATAACGACAGTGGACAACGTTTGGCAGAGAATTCAATTATTGAAGGCTGAATTTTGGCCATCTTGACAAGGTTTCTCTGTAGTAATTGATTCTCATGTATCAAAGTGGCCACATTGTTACAATTCGGAAAGCTCCAGTAACAGCTGGAAGTTGACCCTGGTTACTTAACAGCCTGATACTGTTTCTAACTTTAGCTTTTGACTATGTCTTTCAACACCCAGCTTCTGAGAAGTTACCAGGAAGGACAGTGGCATTGCTATGAGACAGCTTCCTGGGAGGGGAGAGCTGTTCCTCACGTTGGTAAGGCCTGGGTCAGGTGGAATTATGTCTCTTTGGTGGTATAAAGTGGAAAGATCATTGGACCAGGAGGCAGAAAGTTTAATTCAGTCACGAAGGCCAGAAACGTGTACACATTTGGACTCTGAGTTTCCTAAACACAGAATACAGGTAAAAACACTCACTTAGTCTTCACCACGAATGCTCTAATGAGCAAAATTATGGGAGTGCTTTGGAAAATGTACAGGTATATGAATACAAAGGATCATTATACTTATTACTTACTATACATTGTGTAATATATAGTACTATATATTACTATTTATTATTATATATTATTATATATTGTTTTTATTAAAGAACTTGATTTCTGTTGGAGAGAAATGAGGCCTATGTCACATACAGGACATAGAGATATATAACTGCATCCTTTTCAGAGGATATTTTCTCATTTCTTTTCTTTTCATTTTTTGGTGAGGAAGATTGTTGCTGAGCTAACAACTTTGCCAATCTTCCTCTACTTTTTGTGTGTGTGATGTCACCACAGCATGGCTTACTGAGCAGCATGTAGGTCTACGCCCAGAATCCGAACCCATGAACCCTGAGTGGCCAAAGTGGAGTGTGTGAACTTAACCACTACACCACCGGGCCAGCCCCTCATTTCTTTTTAAGAACTCCATGACACAAAAGTTTTTGCTGTTCCTGAGTAATGAATATCCTTTTTCCTCTCTCTCTGAACACAAGGGCTAATTGTTTTTGACCCTTTTCACTTTGACTGCCAGGAAGCTCAGATCCCAATAAGAGCTTCAACTCTGTCCATTTTATTGGCCTTTACTGCCTGTGTTGTCATCCTCCTGTCCTCACCACCTCCAGTCCTAACTACTGTTACTCATATTTTCTCTAATTCTGATTTTATATTTATATATCATGGTCATGTATGATTCTAGTAGTCACAGTTTTCAAACTGTATGAATTGAATGTATCCTTATTCCAAACTCACCCCAGAAGCTTTATGAAATAGTAAAACATAAAAAAATGAATAACAACCATTACACAGAACCTCTTTTACCTACCATGGGTTCTGTTTTTCCTAAACGAGAAGCACCTGGTATTACTAGACAGTGATTCTTTTTTCTTGGATCTATTTCCTCCACCACATTCAGTGTATCTCTTCTCCCCAGTGGCCGGTGCATGCGGCTCATGGTAAACGATTGGCTCCCCAACGTCTAGTGTGTGAGATTAAGCTCATGGTATTTTGCAAGAACTTAAAAATCACAGAATAAAAGAAGAAGGTAAAGAACAGGGAGATAGTTCCGGCAGTGGCCAGGAAATATAAGTAGGTCTCCTAAATGGATGGAATTCACATGAAGGGCCATGCTTCCTTATCACTCTGGCCATCACAGGCAGGGGATGGCAAAACTTTTTTCTGTAAATGGACAGATGATAAGTAGTTTAGGTGTGGACTTCATGGTCTCTGTTACAGCTATTCAAAACTCTGCCATCTTTTGCATGGAAGCATTTACAATATGTAAACGAACGCTGAAATTTGAATTTCCTATCATTTTCAAGTGTCACGAAATAGTCTTCTTTTGATTTTTTTCAACCATTTCAAAGTGTGAAAACCATTCTTAGCTCGAGGGTCATACAAAAACAGGCAACAGGCCAGGTTTGGCTCACAGGCCCTGGTTTGCTGACCCTTAATATAGAGCATAAATTTTATGCAAACCTCTGTAAGTCAGACTTCAATACAACGGCAAATACACACTCCTTTTCTGTTCCCTCTACCCCGCCACTTGCCTCTTGTCTTTCCTGTCACCCCCCTGCTGCCAAATGTGTCGATCTTCCCTGTGTTAGGGATTTCCATCAAGAGATCTTTTTTCTTAGCCAGCCTTTGAGAGTTCAGTCTCATCTATCCTTCCTAAAAAAATTCTCCCATCTTTCTCCCCCTTCCATGACGAGATTCCCTTCTTCGTTATTGACTTCTCTTTTCATTTCCTAGGGTAAAATGGTTCCTCTCCTGCTGTCAGATACTGCATTTCTCTCTCAAGATCCTAAGAGCTAACATGAGGATTACTCTGCCCACCACCAGCCCTTCTGAGTGGCAGCCACCCAAAGTTGCACCGCCCATGTAAGAGAAGGAAAGAAGACAGAAATACAACGGTTGGCTAGAGGTTGGGAGAGGGGAGCATTCAGAAAAGAACAATCTCTGTCTTATGGATTCTGTGGACTAATAGAGCCAACTGCAGCCTCATGGACCATGTCCAGTCCATAGACGCGAGGGCGGAGGAGGATTTGTCTGCACTGGGTAAAAGAGAACTAGTATTTTTAAATGGGAGCATCTCATGTAAAATTTGGATCTGCAATATCTCTTGAAAGATTGGAAGATCTAAAGATTTGGGGCCAGATTTCCTTGAAGCAATAATCACTGAAGGATGGGCTTCCTCCACAGACAACAAGCTCTCCATGAAATGCTCTCCACCATTCTTCACCTGCTTCTTGAAAAGAAGCCCACTGTCAGTTGCCACTTCTTGGCCATTAAAACAAAACAAAGCAAAAAGCATAAAAAGAGTGTTTCTCTGACAATATTAATTATACTCCTTTTGGATGTTAACAGTAGTTATCTCTTAATCTGGATTTATGCCGATTATTTAATGACTCATACCACCCCATATCCAGGCCAAGCTGGGGAACAGAAAATTTCCTACAGTATTCAAGGCCCTTCATCATCTTCCTCAGCTTTACTTTTCCCAATTCGTCCTCCAACACACATTGTTCTGCCTTCTACAAATCACTCATTTCTGCAAACCGCACTGGCAAGTCGCCTTTGCCAAACACTTTTATGAATCCAAGACTCCGTGAAAACTTGCCTGCTATGCAGAACTACCCTCTCCTCCTTCCTTCTATCCTTCCTTCCTTCCTTCTAAGTCAACGCTACCGGCCTAGGTCAAATGGCACATTTTCAGCAAAGCCTTCCCCGCTACCCCATGCAGAACTAACAGCACCATCATCTCTATTCTGGAATCATTTTAGAATTGTATACTAATTCTTTTAAGTGTGATTGGTCCTTGTAGAAGGTAGATTGGCTCAAGAAAAGAAGCATGCCATTCATTCTTCTTCACCCAATGACTAAAATGGTGACTAGACAAACAAAGCTTCCCAAAATGCTTCCGGAGAGTATGTGACCGAACGAATGTTTCGGAAATGTGCAGGTGATGCTGAAAGGTCATAAGGGGTCTCCAGACCACTGAGAGCTACAGCTCTCCAAGGTCATCTCAGGTGACCTGAGGGCATCTCGGCACAGTAGAAAAGCACGAGTTTGTTTCACAGTTGGAGAGGCTGGGTTGGGATCTTGGCTCTGCCACCCTTTTCAACATTTGATCTAGGATGAGCTACTCGGCCCTGAGCCCCTGTCTCCTCAGGGCTAAAATGGGACAGCACCTGTAGCTGCTGCCATGAAATGACAGGCTGTATATGGGCGTTCCTGGGGCTTGGAAGGTGTTCAAAAAGTGCTAGTATTTTTAATTTTTTTTCAGAATGCCTTCAATGAGCCTCTGTCAAATTATTTTCCAATCATCCTTATCCTCGTGTCAAGTCACCATCCCCAACACCCCCCCAATACCTACCACCGATGTCACTGTTGGGGCCTTCAGTCCTTCTGTTCCCCTCACATGACGGCTTGCATGAACACCCCATTCTTCAATAAGTAGCCGCATGCTGGGTCCTCCAGGCAGCCTCCCACCTTCTCCAGCACTCAGGACCTACTTATCTAAGCCCCTGGGAGACCAGCAGTGATTTGCCCCAGGGTGGTAAAGAGCAGGGTGGTAATCACTTTCAAGTATGCTTCCATTTTATCTCCTCCACCTCCTCCTCAATCATCTTGTTTTCCTGTCTTTCTCATAAGATGGGCATAGAGCAGATGCTCAGCAGGCACTTGAGAGTCACCTGTGGTATCTATGGGATGAGATGGCGGCTCAGAGAGGTTAAGTGACTTGTCTGAGGTTAAACAGCAAAATGCGTGCTTCAGGAGTTACCAAGAGCCAGTTTTCTCTTCTCCGGGTCCCTAATGTCTGCTAGATCATCATGAATGACCACCCTAGGACAATAACCTGAACCAAAATTGATAAACTCTGCTCACCACAGACATGCATTTAAACCCAATCCCAAGCAGGTGAGAACACAGCAAGGAAGGATCTGCCCAGCACGGACCTCAAAGAGAAATTTCCTGAGATGCTACATAATGCTAATGGTCCTGATGCTGAGGACGGACAGGAGAGTTCCCCTAGAAGAGGGAAGGCTGGAAGCATCAAGGCGATTACCAAGGAGGCAAGATGTTCCACAGGAAAAGCTTCCATAGACTGTGGGTAGGTTGTACTGGGCCATTGACCAGATACTCCCCACATTATAGCCACCTCATTTATAACCTTAGCAGAGGACTAGTCCAAACAGGAAAGTCACATCCTGGGGAGAGCGGCCACATCCCCAACCCCTCTTATGGGCTGGTTTCAGTTAATATGCGTAAGCGAGTCGATGCACAGAAAGTCCTTACAAGAATGACAAGTACCTAGTAAGCATTAGTTCTCACTGTGGCATCAATGTTCTCTCCTTGCCTGACAACTTCATCAATTGATAGCTGTGTGTTCTTGTGCAAATTACTTAACTTCTCTGTGCCTCAGATTATCAGCGAAATAAGATTATAATTAGTAACCATACCTCATGGGGTGGTCGAGAGATTTAAACAATAATATGCAGGCATGTTTAGCTGAAGCTCAGAGCAGACACTCAGTAAACGAGTGATGGTACTTGTCATGGGGACAACAGCTGGTTTGGAGGATCAGAGTGACTTAAATCAGACCTCCCCTAAGCCAGGAGTATCAAGCCTTTTCCTTCCTTCAGCTACTGATTGGTTAAATAAAACAGTGCTTACAAACGCGACCTGTGATGTGCCCTTTTGTGTAAGAGCTTATGTCTTTCTTCCATGTTCCAAACCAAAACTTAAGACAGAGAGGTTAACAGGGACGTCTGCATGGCTTTTGTACCTGGAAGATGTAGTTTTGAAAACAAAATAAGAGAGTTTCAAATTCCACTGGGCATTTAAAGGGATGATGAAGGTAATGCCTTTGAAACCAGAGTAACCCAAAGAACCCGGGACACTGCCTCACCCTACCCAGTGGTATCGATCGCCCCCCGCCCCCCAAAATGGTTGTGAAGATGCACAAAGAAAATTCCAGTAGGTCTAGTAAGTGAGGAGGCTGCTGATTATCATTA